TAAAGTATTGTATAGGTTCTCAAAATTCCTAAAGAGACACTGGTGGATTAATAGCATTAGTTAAGAAAAGGTTGAAAAAGAGTGATGTGATACTGAATATTCATTAGTATTGCGACAGCATTTTAAAAGTGTACAAAAACTTGAAAAAAATAAGACTCAAGAGGTGAATAATACTGAGAGATGTGTGTAAATGTAGTGTTGATAATAATACACCCATTATTTAAAAAAGGAGAGAGAAAAAATCACTCCTACAAAGTGAGCAAGAGCCAAGGTTGAAACACAAAATCCACAAAAGTTGTGTGGAAAACACAGTCACACATTACAGGAGAATGATGGCTTGGGGGAGGGGGTGACAAGAAGACCCTGCAAGCGTTTTTTAAAGTCAGAGTTCACGCTCAAATTACATTTACAGAATATATATATATATATATGTACTGTATATATATGTATATACATACAGAAAAGATATTCCCCAAAGAAATGATAAAATACAGTAGATCACTACTAATGCAATGATGCAAGGAGAAATAAAAAAAAACAAAAATCCTGATAAAGAAAGCATCATTGTTCTATTTACAGCTGCACCTGGCCACCCTATTCCTGCCTATAAAAATATTATAAATTTTTTTTATTACTTTTTCCCGTGGTAAAACTGTTTAGCAATCTAATCTCTGAATGTATTTTCAAAAGAAAATTATTAGTTCCCTTGTGCAGTTTTACCATCAGTTCAGTACATTGTAAACTGTGCTTACTTAACCCCCTACCCAAATTTGTCATGGCATTGTAGAATTTACAAATATGAATCAGTGTAAAATAGCAACATCTGTTATAATGATAGATTATGTTTGTCAGCTGCATTGTGTTTGCCTTAAAAAAAAGAAGTATTTTTTTGTTATGTACTGAACAAAAACTGATATCTAAAATGTAATGCAACCACACCACTCAGACCATTGGTGTACTGAATTTCCTTATACTGTAAAAAATATTCTAATGATATGAAAAAGAAATAAAGCAAATACTAGAGATATGCTGTCCTTCCATAGTCCCCATTACTAGGCTTGATGGATCTTAATATAACTAGCTGGTCTATTATTTGGGGCCTTCAGTAACCCACTCTCAGTTACATGTGCACCACTCAGTTTCTAACGCATTATGTTTTGACATTAATTACATAATCTTACCCTAAATATTAACACCAGCAAAAAAACATAACGGTGTGTAAATAATCTAAGGTAGATGGTAAACTTTATCTTTTTTTCATATTGACAATACACACATTTTAATCACATGGGGTTAGTAGCAAAGCCTTTTTTGGATATATAGCCTTGGCTGGTTAAACCTGGTCAAACCTGCCAGCTGTTGATCATGGGCGGAGATGAAACAAAATAATCTTAACAAATCAGATACTGTGAAAACGGTGTCAGACAGCCAATTGTAGTTCAATAGTAGGTTGTCTGAAAACAACTCCTTGGTAAGTTGCATGAATTTTTTTTGTAGTCGGCAACTGATTACAAATTGTTGCGGTGACCACTGTCAACTGTGACGGAATTGCAATGTCACCTGGTGGGAGATGATGCGTGTCCAAACAGTGACATTGCCCCTTAGAACGACCATAATCACCTCTATTGGTGAAGGTTTGAAAAGAACTGGTAATTTAAAAATGCAGAAAGATTGTTACCATATTGTAATCAATCTGAGTCAGTCTGCATCGATGGGCGCATATCATCTTAATTAGGTCTCATTGTTATAGGGGACTCAAAACAACTGGTTGTATCTGGTTATATTCCTAAAAAAATTGTAGAGGAATTTCTGAATTTCCATTTCAGATCAGTAAGGCTCTGGTTGAAATCTGAAAGTAAGTACTTCAAATGAATTTCTGTTGTATATGCGAACAGATTTGCGATTTTCACAGTTACCATATTATAACAGATTGTATGTAGTTTCCAGGTTACCCCGTTTACTCCCAAACTCTCTCTGTCTTATTGCTGTTTTATCTCTTTCTTGATGCACCAGAGATGCTTTGAAGACTCAAGTGGTCTCAGACCTGGTCCCTGTCTTCGAAGCAGCCACGCATCTACAAATTCATTACACACGACTGCAATAAACTGCAGTCTGCAATAGTGGTGCAACGGATCACGGTTGATCCGTAATCCGAACCGATCCCACTCCACGGTTCGGCACACATGATGTATGGTGGGCGTGGTCAGTCTGTCAAGCGATAGCTATGGTCAGCGCTAGCGGTCCAAGTGGAGGAGCAGAGGAGTTTGCGGTATTTAAGCAGCCCTTTGCTGCCCAATCCGACCGGGCTAAAGCTATTACAAAAGCTATTGGGGGTGTTAAGCTGCAGACGAGAGGCCGCATTCTGTTGTGCAAAACAAAGGGTTTAAACTAGTCAATGCGTTAGTTGAGGCATTGACGCGTGCAACCCCCACGCAAGGGGCGATCCGCGGTAACTAGTTAACGGAGATTTGTCGCGTTAATGCAGTTATGGCATTAACGTCATTTTAACGAGATTTACGCTGACAGCACTAGTTTAAACTATGATGAACGTGCTTGAGCCACGCTATGATATCCTGTCGCGCGTTCACTTCAGTGACAAGATCGCTCCAAGCATGTATGAGCAGGAAATGTTTAAAGTTATGGCTGAGCTGTCCCAGGCATCTTCTGTTGCCCTAACTACAAATGGACCTCCAGGGCAACGGAAAGCTACGTGACCGTGACCGCTCATTATATCACAGCGGAGTGGTAGATAGAAAGCCCTGAACTGCCCTATATTGCACCTTAATTTGTTTTTATATAATTGCGTGGAATGAGTCTTGAATTGAGTGTTTTTAATAGGCAAAAAAATACTTAAATAAGTAAATGGCGAGTTAAATTTTTGTCTTCTGTTTTTTTTTTCCTGCTGATCCAAAAATTGATCCGATCTGTGACGAAAAAACGTGATCCGATCCGAACCGTGAGACTTTTGATCCGTTGCACCACTAGTCTGCAACCACTGTTTTCCCTACTGTGACTGTATTAGACAACATGACAGGCATAAGACGATGAAGCTACTTGTTAAAAAGAAAAAAAAAAATCACAATGAGACCCTGAAGACCAAAAGCTATAGTAAAACAAAATTTCTACTCAACTTAAAACATAATTACATTTTTAACACTCAACAAAAGTATGAAATATAAATACAAATTTTTACCAAAAAGGCTCATTTACTGAATTAGCAGTCAGCACTGAGAGGGAGTCATTGTGCTCCTTTACTACTTTACGCTTATGAAGCTTTCACGCAGAACATTACAGACTGCTGTATCGTTCACATTGTGCTGTGATTCATGTTAACATCTTTCATGATCACTTTTTCTCTCCGGACTCCTCTGGTTATGTTCACTCAATAATGACTGCTTTTCATTTTTCACTGCTTCAGCCGCACGACAGTGTTTGCTACAAAGAATTCTATAGTTACCACAGAGGAGGAAAAAAAGAATGGCAATTAACTCTGGTCCTCTCTGCCAGTTTCAGTGCTCTTGCGTCTTCCACCATCATAGCTTTTATAACATTGATGCATTGACTGGGTAACATTTCTTGAATGCTAATACCTACGTTTTAACCTCGCTGCAGGATTACAACCTATTGCCTGTCGTTCAGGGTTTCTCAGCTGGTGCACTGGGTGAGATGTTGGGTAACATGATTTCCCCACAGAACAACAAGGGAAAGTGGATGAATTAGCATTCAAAAAGCTAAAAGCCCCTTGTGATGGTTGCTGGCTGAGAGCACCAGTAGGTTTTCTCGTCCACAAGATTGGCTGTATTTTCCCACAGAGAGCCATTTCAAAGCCTTACAGTGACTCTCAACTGCTGCCGCTGCACTTAGACACACAGCCATATAGTAGTCCACAAGCACTACTGCTTTTTTACGGGTAATGGTAAAAATTGACTTACATAACTGACATTAATCTGTAAAAAATATAGAGGGGGCCATTTTGCTCCATAAATTAGGACAAATAATGTATACATAAGAGTATATTCAAATGATAGTAAATCAGAATACTTGATGATTTCAGAAGTGTAAGACAGTAGATCAGATTTCTAACAGAACAAAGGCCAAAGTGATACTTAACATGATAAAATTCACTATAAAATTCACATTTCTGTTGAGATGCATTTATTATGAGCGCTCTTATTGTGGTATTGTGGGACTAATCTGTCTTCCATTATGATTACATTTCAATAGGCCTGATGTCCCTTTTTGATTTAAAAATTTGTGCCTCAGCTGGAACTCTACTGGATGATTATTATTTCCATAAAACCTGAGAGGTGGAGAAATGCTGTGCCAGGGCAACATCTGCGTTTTGAACAGAAAATCATCGGCACCGCTCATCTGAATCTGTAATATTGAGGCACAACGTTGTGTAACTGTGCTTGTGTATTCTTTCAGCACTGATACATGCACAGGGGTTAGGCAGCTTCGGCCCTCTATAATACCACACATATATATGCTGTGATATTGTAAATGTTATTGAAATTAAGTCAAGCTAATCATATCTTTCAGAGTTTAAAGGCTAGGCCACCAGTTTTATTTATGACACTCAAGCTACTTACTGCTTACCACTCTGCATCTGAAAAAAAAAGCTGAGAAAAATATCTCTGGTGATCTCATCACTGATGCCTTAAACAAAAATGTTTGGCAGGAAATACACATTTAGGAAGAAGGAATATAAGAAGTGTTTTATGAAGCAGGCTAGAGTTGCGTTACTGGTGATGTAGCTGACATTTGTGACCCTTACTCAAAACTAAAATTGAAGATATTTGATGGTGATTCTTTTTACACCACCTCTTATTAATCACTTTAATCCCAGAACATTAGAAGTACAAAATCTAAGCACTAGAATATCCCTTTAATCTCTTGAATGTAATAAATAAACAATCAAAAGCGATGAAGAATCCTTCAAATTAAATATTGCTACCATGTTTGTGTTTATAGCTTCTT